ATATCAGTAGACTTGTAAACTCTTATATCAGTAGACTTGTAAACTCTAATATCAGTAGACTTGTAAACTCTTATATCAGTAGACTTGTAAACTCTAATATCAGTAGACTTGTAAACTCTTATATCAGTAGACTTGTAAACTCGTTCTTAATAATAGATTATAATATATTCGGGTTAGGGCTCTTTCAAAAGGGATAAAAGAGGCGGAAAAAGGGGAGGGGTGGTGGGGGGAAACCTTGTGAACAGCTTTGTTATAATGCAATAAATGTTAAAAAAAAGACAAGATCTGATGTATTACAGGTTACTTACAGTGTGACAAACATCTAAGTATAAAATGGCTGGCACGAGACAAGGTGGTTAACTGTGTACAAATACAAATTTGTTTTACAGGTAATTTAAAAAATAGGACCATCATTCAATAAACACTTGAGATGACTCTGGGTGGCACAGGTTATTTTTTCCACGTGAGATGACTCTGGATGGCACAGGTTATTTTTCCACGTGAGATGACTCTGGGTGGCACAGGTTATTTTTCCACTAGAGCTGACTCTGGGTGGCACAGGCTATTTTTTCCACGTGAGATGACTCTGGGTGGCACAGGTTATTTTTCCTCGTGAGATGACTCTGGGTGGCACAGGTTATTTTTCCACGTGAGATGACTCTGGGTGGCACAGGTTATTTTTTCCACGTGAGATGGCTCTGGGTGGCACAGGTTATTTTTCCCCGTGAGATGACTCTGGGTGGCACAGGTTATTTTTCCACGTGAGATGACTCTGGGTGGCACAGGGTATTTTTTCCATGTGAGATGACTCTGGGTGGCACAGGTTATTTTTTCCACGTGAGATGACTCTGGGTGGCACAGGTTATTTTTCCACGTGAGATGACTCTGGGTGGCACAGGTTATTTTTCCACGTGAGATGACTCTGGGTGGCACAGGTTATTTTTTCCACGTGAGATGACTCTGGGTGGCACAGGTTATTTTTTCCACGTGAGATGACTCTGGGTGGCACAGGTTATTTTTTCCACTAGAGCTGACTCTGGGTGGCACAGGCTATTTTTTCCACGTGAGATGACTCTGGATGGTACATAGGTTATGGTCGCCGTGCGTGAGTGAACAGCACGAGGTAGTGCGAGCGTTGTACTTTTAATTTCAGTGGGTGTCTACTTGTTTCGTTATAGCCCGGGGCTTACCCCCAAGCCATCAACGTCATGCCATCTGGGCGTCTCATCTTATTACTATGCCATAATGCCACACGTCATAAGAAACCGACCTTTTTTTTAACGCATTCCCCCATCTGCGTTGCGTGGGCCACGTAGCAAGATTGTTCAACGACAAATTTACACAAAAGAATTTTTTGTTGTGTGCTCAAGCAACGCATGTGACTTGATTGGGGACGAAAGGAAAGCTAGAATGTCACATTGAATGCATCTTGAAAGCATTTCACAATGACCCGGGGCAAGTGAGGATAGTCTTCAAACAATCGAGATTCCTGTCGCCATTCCCTGCAAAAGGGCTCAATGCAACATGAGGCTGACAGAACAGCTGCTGTAGAACACAAGAGACAAGCCAAAAAAAAAAATACCTGAGTTAACTCTGGACATGGAGGTGCTCCATCCATCCCCTGTACCTGGACGTGCCCCATCATTCCCTGTACCTGGATGTTCCCCATCCATCCCTTGTACCTTGATGTGCCCATCCATCTCTTGTACCTTGATGTGCCCCATCCATCCCCTGTACCTTGATGTGCCCCATTCCTCCCCTGTACCTGGATGTGTCCAAACCATCTGCTTTACTTGGATCAGTCCCATCCATCCCCTGTACCTGGATCTGCCACCTCCATCCCTTGTGCTTGGGTCGGCCCCATCCATCCCCTGTACCTTGATGTGCCCCATTCATCCCCTGTACTTGGGCCTGCCCTATTCATCCCCTGTACCTTGATGTGCCCCATCCATCCCCTGTACCTTAATGTGCCACATCCATCCCCTGTCCTTGATGTGCCACATCCATCCCCTGTACCTTGACGTGCCCCATCCATTACCTGTACCTTGATGTGCCCCATCCATCCCCTGTACCTGGATCTGCCACCTCCATCCCTTGTGCTTGGGTCTGCCCCATTCATCCCCTGTACCTTGATGTGCCACATCCATCCCTTTCCTTGATGTGCCATATCCATCCCCTGTACCTGGTTTCCCCCCTACATCCCTTGTACTTGGGTCTGCCCCATCCACCCCCTGTACCTTGATGTGCCCCATCCATACCCTGTACCTTTGTTAGACATGATTAATTGTAATAAAATCCTGGTATGTCTTAACAAAATACATATTTTTAAAATACTTTTAATGCATTTTAGAAAAAGCGTGCTTTTAAAAGCTTTTTTTTCTGCTATGACATTTTTTTTTAAAACATTTATTTTCTACTTTTTAGTACATTTTAAGAAAAGCGTATTTGAAAAAGATATTTTATAT